TATTTAAGAGTAAAATGAAAGAGTGTATAGCCAAAGATGTGAGAAATATAGGAGCCAGCAGTAGCTACCATTACAACACTGAGAAGAGAGAAATAGAGTGAGGTTAAGAGTTGACATAGAGTAAATGATTCATCCTCCTTTGTTGTTGTAAATATTGTTTTTTCCCTATATAATAAAATGATTTCTCTTGTGAATGTAGACGGTTTGCCGAACCACGTTAAATATTGTGTTAGTGTATTTAGCATCTAATGGATAACAATCAGAACATCACCGATCCGGAATCCCTAACAAAACTCAACCTCTAGAGACAATGTTCGAATTACCAATTTGATTATTGGCTTCTTTTTATTAATAACTCGACAATTTTTCCTCCAATCTCTCTCTAAAAAATAAAAATGACAGTTCTTTCAAAAAACACCAATAGTAGAAAACCAGTTAGTATGAACAATCATTACTATTCATGAAGGTTGATTTCTATTTAAAAAAATTAATTAATTAAAGGATGAATTTTAATTAGTCAAATTTGAAAATCAAATTTAGATCGATCAAGTTAGTAGTGAATTAATCTATTTTTTTATTGGATTAATCATATTTTCTTGTTTTTTTTTAAACTTATATCAATTTAAGTCAAGCTTCGAGTTCATCCAGGTTTCATTATTATTACTTTAAAAAAATATTTATTATTTATTTAATGTGAATATATAATACCATAAATTATGTGATATTTTATAGGTGTATTATTTGGATATGCAGTGATTGTTTTAGGTTGCTAGTGGCGATTTCTACAAATATCAGGTGATCATAAAAATTGTAATTAGATACAGTTTTGTTAATAAAGAATAAAAATAAAAATAAAAATGTTGATTTAAATGTAATAAGAATAATATCTGTGTGTTTAATATTTATATGAAGTAAATTCAAGAGATTATGAGCTTGTGGTTTCCTTTAGTGATGATCGATGCCACAATATAATAATGTGTGTACGCATAGCAAGTTTTACAATGTCACACTTAGACCAAAGAAGCTGGCTAGGCTAGGGAGAATTTTTGAAGTAAATAATCTTCAAGTGGTGGTGAACAGGTCCATGCATATACTAAGCAGCCAATGTTGTACCTTGTCAACTATCACATAGTCAATTCAACCCTATGACCTTTTCTTTACAGGTATGTTCGTTGCTATAAATACCCTTCCATTGCCTCCCTCCATTTTCAACATCAACCTCTGAATTCTCACACTACATATTACAAACACATCGAAGAAGCCAGAGAACAGAAATAATCAAAGAAAACCCTTACATTTTCTCAGAAAACAAAGGAAAAAAACCATATACAATATTATGGCCTCTTTACAAGCTTCAAGCTTTCTTTTCTCTTCTTCTTGTTTTTGTAGTTGTTCAACAAGAATCAATGCTGCTGTTTCGGTACCTAAGCTTCCAAGATTTCGTCTCCCAGTTCCAAGAACCCCATTAAGATTTGTTGAGGAACTGAATTTAAAAGATGGGCTCACAAGTACAGTCCCATTATTAGAAAACACAAGGCCAGATCAGTGTGCGCCAATCGAGTCTAAAACTACTGCAGCAGCAGCCAAGCTTTACGCAATCTTAGAAGCTGTTTCTGATAGAGTAGAGATGCACAAAAACATTGGGGAGCAACGTGACAATTGGAACAAACTTCTTTTGAATTCAATTAACATGATCACTCTAACAGCAGCAACAATGGCTGGTGTTGCATCAGCTGGTACAGTTGGAGCACCTCTTTTGGCTTTGACGTTATCTTCTACTCTTTTATTTTCTGCAGCTACTGGAATGTTATTGATCATGAACAAAATCCAGCCTTCACAGCTTGCAGAAGAGCAAAGAAATGCCACAAGATTGTTCAAGCAACTTTATAGCCAAATACGAACAACACTTGCTCTTCGCGATCCTACCGCGTTAGATGTGAAGGATGCAATGGAGAAGACATTGGCTCTTGATAAAGCTTACCCTCTTCCTTTGTTAGGAAAAATGATTGAAAAGTTTCCTGAAAATTTTGAGCCTGCAGTTTGGTGGCCTAAAACACAAGGATCCCCAAGAAAGTACCTCAAAACACAAGGAAAGAATGGGTGCAGTGGAGATCTTGAAGAGGAGATGAGGGAAGTGACTGAAGTGATAAAGAGAAAAGATAGTGAAGATTACATGAGACTAGGCAACTTGGCATTGAAGGTTAACAAGATCTTAGCCATCTCTGGTCCATTACTCACTGGCATTGCAGCTGCGGGGTCTGCCTTTGTAGGCCATGGATCTTGGGCAGCAATTGTGGCTGTCACAGCTGGTGCATTAGCTAGCACAGTCAATACATTTGAGCACGGTGGCCAAATCGGTATGGTAGTTGAAATGTACAGAAACTGTGCAGGATTCTTTACACTTATGGAAGAATCAATTGAAACCAGCATTCAACAAAGAGATTTCGAGAAAAGTGAAGACGGAGAAATGTTCGAAATGAATGTTGCATTGAAGCTTGGAAGAAGCTTGTCACAACTAAGAGATCTTGCCAGAAAATCCTCTTCTTCTCATGGAGATGGAAGCACCATAGATGAGTTTGCTAGCAAACTTTTTTGATAGTATTAGACCTCCCTGTCCATAACTAATTCACATTCTTTTAAAAAATCCTTTTGTACATCAAAGTAACATGTATAGATTGTCACAAATGATATTCAATTTTTTCCTCAAGATGCTCAAGTATGAGAAACTTCTTTCTTACTTTGCAAGGATGAGAATTACCACTAAATTCATGAGATCATATGATATCTAAAATGTATAGGGAATCAATGTTCTTAAATTTTACATTTGTTCCAAGCAAGTGGTTATAGTTCTAAGAGATCATATTGTTAAAGATCACAAGCTTCATATATTTTTAGTCCTGATGCTTTTGGCTAGATAAATATACGTTTCTCGAGCTCCCAAGTTGTTGAATCTGCTAGTTGCAAAGATTATAATAAGTATTCTAGTTGAGTCAGTCGTCATTTAAGCCACCAAATCCAGAGGTTGGTCTTTGTGTGGTGTGATTCAAATCTGTCTCATTCAACCATTGCCTCGTATAAATACTTTAATAAATTCCAAGAGAAAAGTCAAAACATCAAGTTTTGAATATGGAGATGTGAACAGTTGAACCCGGAATGAATGGACTTGCTCTTAATTTTAGGCCATTTCTAGGGCTTAAGGAAATAGTCCAATATGGCCCAAACAACAAGCCAGACGATTAAAAGCAACCGAACTTTTGTTGAGATTTTGAGTATTGACCTCTGGTCATAGAAGTTGCAACGATAAAATGAGCCAGGTCCTCTTGGATTATTATTCGAAACACCAAGTGTCGATAAATTTAATAGATTATTTGTTCAAAAATTATCTACCTAGGTTCTAAACAGTAGCCGCCAATGAATTTGACAACTTTGAAACCATGTCATATTTGAACATCTTGGTGGGAAAACGCTTTGTGCTTTGCTTTTCTTGTGATGTGGGCCGTGACTCCATCTCCCATCTCATCTTCCCAACAACTATTTATTTGCATGTACCATGGCGGCTGCTCATGGACAAAGCACGGTAGCCGCAGATGCGTACCAGTCAGCAAATCTTCGGTATTCCAAAGGCCTGTCTCAGCTATTCAGTGCAGGTCCTCGCGTATACGAACATACCAAGACATGGCACAGCTCTTTTAGACCTTAAACGCCACCATACTAAAATAAACCATCATACAGAGAAGGCTCACAAAATTCTTGTGCTTGAAATGACCATCACATAAGGAAAGTAAATGTGGTTTTCATTTATTATCACGAAATTTGTTCTCATTTGGAAACATGTAACACAATCATTCCTGTCAACTAATAATGAAAAAACATGAACAAGATATTGGGGACTTCTTAGAGACAGGAGTAGGGGAGATTTCTTTGAAGTGATCGAGTTTATGAAAACAAGTCAAAACAGGAACCAATTACAAAATGCATGAACTGAAGTACGAAACCTGAGTTAAGATGGCTTGTAATATTTAGTTGGTACAAATGGCTTTTTTGTGACAACTCCATCATAGGCCTTCCCACGTACCAGTATTTTAGCTTTGGTGCCTACCTTGTGTGAACCAGATTTCACGTACCCCATGGCTATATTTTTCTTGAGGCATGGGCTAAATCCTCCACTTGTAATTTCTCCAATGTTAGTCCCTTTCTCATCCTGAATCTCACTGTGGGATCTGGGAGGTGGACCAGTAGAGGTAAATCCTACAAGCCTGATTTTTGGGCCTTCTGCAAGTTGTTTGAGTATTACTTCAGCACCCAGAAAGCCACCTTCTGCCTTCCTTCTCTTCCCTATCGCCCAAGACAGTCCTGCCTCTACTGGTGTTATGTGCTGTTCCATGTCATTACCATATAAGCACAGCCCAGCTTCAAGTCGGAGACTGTCCCGGGCACCAAGCCCTGTCAACCTTATTTTTCCTTCAGATTTTTCTAGGATTGCTTTGGCAAGATCCACTGCATTCTCTGAAGGAACTGATATTTCAAATCCATCTTCTCCAGTGTATCTGAAAATCTCAGCAAAGAGACAAATAATCCATCATGACCAATAAGAGAAAAATAAGCATGGGAAATTAATGGTTTAAATGCAAGAGAACATTTGAGAATATTGTACCCTCAGCTCCAAATAGCTCTAAGGTTAAATTAATTCTTCTTCGCTACGTCGTCATAAGGTGTATAGTTAAAGACAATTATCATATTCCCAGAAATTTTATTGGAAAATAGAAAATATAGATGGGAAATTAAGCACAGACTCAAAGTGAAATGTCAACAAGATAGCTATACTTAAACTCTTAATGACTACATATAAATGGTCATTGATGCGCATTCCATATTTGAGGAATGAGGACATATGAACGAGAAACCAAAATGAAGCATACCCTGTCCTAGTAATAAAGCAGAGCGCTCCATTGATGTCTGTAATACGGAACTCCCCAAAGTATAACTTGCTCAAATCATCTTTTGTCAGGTGCTGGAGAACAGAAGCAGAAAGAGGACCCTGCACCCAAAAAGTGAAGAAACTCTATAAATGCCATGATATCAGGCGTTGGAGAACAATGTTGCTTCTCAAAAGATATGGATTACGAAAACAATAGGAGGAAGGGAGAAAAACAATAGGAGGAGGGGAGAGGGAGAGGGAGAGGGGGAGAGAGAGAGGGGGGGGGGAGGTAATAACATTCAAAGCATGAGGCTATAATCACAAAGCCTGACAGTATACATTTTAACTTTGTTCCAGACATGCTTTAGTTGTATACTAAAGTCACAGATTACTATGATAGCTGAATTCAAGTCAATAATCTAGCACTAGTGTCATGAATATCAAAACACAAAAAAAGATCAAAAAAATAAATAAAAAGCAAAGAGAAGCAAAGATAAGAATGCAAGGATTGACCTGGAGGGCGAGAAGAGATCTCTCATCATGGATATGCCATGAGACATCTCCACCTTTTGCCTTAAATGCCTTCATATGCTCCTCAATGTGAGCAAGATCCTTATCTCTACACCCTGCATTCACAACTATGTACATGTGATCATTCTGAACTTTGGTGATCACTGAATCATCAATTGCTCCTCCTTTCTCATTAGTAAAGACAGTTAGAGTCCCAGTTCCAGGAGCAAGCGCGGCAACATCAGCAATAACAAGCTTCTCTAGGAAAGGAATACAGTCCTTGCCCTTGAGGCTAAACCCACACATATGTGAGACATCAAAAATGCTACCGTTCTCTCTACAATTCACCGTTGATTCCATGATAGAGTCCTTGTACTGAATGGGCATGCTCCACCCAGCAAATGGCACCATCTTGCCACCATTAGCAACATGGAAGTCATAAAGAACAGTCTTTTTCAGCTCAGCTTCTGAGGCGAAGTATCGACGTCCCACAACCTTCTTATCAACCTGAGCAAGTCGGCGGGTAATTGATTGGCCAAGTTGCCACAAACCTCCTCCCCTCATTTTCTAAACTGAATATATCTGATCAAAATAATAATAATATGAACTCTTATATACTAGTACCACCAAGAAGAATCTAAAAAAATCAGCGCGTGCAAAATACAGAATAAAGTTTGGATTTTGATCATATATATAGACATAAAGTTTGGATTTTGATCGAATATGTGTTTATATTTAATCAACCCATAAAGCGAAAAATGATGCCAGCACCTTCAAACCAGAGCAAAAGGGATCACAAAGATGTGAGTGAGATGAGAGTACAAGGAAACTAGGACATGATTTACAAGTTAACTACATATAACACAAGGAATCAAACTATGCAATCCAGGCAACATTATAACAATCGAAACAAAAATCACCTATCTTTTACTTCCCATTTCCCGACACTATCTCATAAACCAGCATTCATTTATATAACATAACAATCTGTTAAGTCTCGAAAGCTACCAAATTGCCAGGTTGGAAATGGGTTTTCTAGATCTCATTCAAATAATCATTACACAAAAGAAGTATCGCCATTCAATCACCCTTATAGAAAGAAAAGCTGCAGTCTTTAAATCATAAATGCCCCATAAATGTCAAGAAATAGAGAGACTTACATGGTTGTTGGTGGTGGTGAGTGTTGCTCAAAGGAAAGCAAATCTTGGAGAGCTCAAAAGAGCATCTCTTGCAATGGAGTGGGGAAGATAGAGAGAGAAAATACGGCCACTTTTATATGTGTTGAATATGATACTATGTTTTTTTTTTTTATGCAAGGATGTTTGGTGGTATGTGTAGTGGGTGGAGGAGGGTGACTCTGCCACATCAAGATGCAGCCAACTGCAAACCCCACCATTAATGAGTGGTGCCTAGGACTATAGACATGGCTACACAATCTTTTTTCTTCTTGACCTTTATTTTTTTAGTTAAGATAAGAATATTTTCGATTAACTTTCTTTTAATATAGTAATTTTTTTCATATAATAATGAGAATTTCAATTTCAATAATTAATTAATTATTTTTTCTTGAAATTCTTAGTTTTGATATAAAAATTGATTTAAGCCGAGCCCCCAAGGGTTTCAGCCTTGTTACTGTCTTACGTTTGTTCAGCTTTTACTCATTATTATCTGTTAGAATCTTATGGATGTCTGTCAAGAGGTACAATCTGATACCAGAGAATATCTACCCTTGATTCAACATGAGGTTAAAGGGGCTTGCCTTTTATAATGATTAGTCCTCTTAAATCAAAGCACATGAAGATTAGGGTGCAGGTTTTTTAAAGTGGAGCTAAGAGCACGGGATTAGAACCATGACAGATTACCTATTTGCTGTTGAGGGATCACTGACAGTCTGACACTGTAGAGAAGAAAAAAGAAAAGAGGGAAATGGGTTGGTGAGATTTGTAAGGATTCCACTGGGACAGGGAAAGGCTATTGGCAGCTCAAGTTTGGGAGTTGGTGGCTCTGGAAATAGTCCACAGGAGTCCTGACAATAGAGGACTTGATGGGATCTTTAGGCTCTTGTTAGGGTGAAAAAATAGATAAATTGCTTTTGTGGTTGAAATTATATTTTATAATTTTATTTTAAAATTATTTTTATTGTGATTTTTATTATTTAAATATGTTGGTGTAATATAATTTTAAAAAACTAAATAAAT